TTTCTTGGATATTATCCATCGTCTAGAAATATAAAACGTAAAACGACGTTTCGGAGATGGGACTCTATCTCCGTCTTCAGGTTAGCTCTATCTTGTGGGCCCAACTGTGTAGGAATCTGAAGACGGAGATAGAGTCCCATCTCCGAAACGTCGTTTTACGTTTTATATTTCTAGACGATGGATAATATCCAAGAAATTTTTTATTCAATTGACTCTTCACCATCGTCAAGAAGTTTTAGATTCGCTGCGTATACTATAATAAATTCTGCGTCATAAAAAATACGTACGTGGTATCAGAAAACAAAATTTGTTATTGCAGTCCGTACCTAAAAGTGTGAACAGCTATTTAGATAAACGAAGAACATGAAATAAATAAGTGGGGTGTGTCTCCCTCTTAAACATTTTGAGATAAGCAGGCGGATCGCAATGACAGAAACTGAACGAGACATTCCGTGACAAATCGAACAGCTCCGTCGACCATATCATAGCCGAGTTTTGTAACGTTTTTATAAGTATATATCCATAAAGTTAAAGTGTTTCCAGAGTTTCAATTTCCTATTATGATTAATACCAAGATATAAATTAATGAAACAGGCAGTTTATGGGAACAACATAATTTCCTGGAAATAACTGGCTTGTCTCATAAACTAAATAATTTAAACGTGTGACACGCACTTTCTTAACTACCTTCTTTATGACAGGAAACATATGAATCTCTGATGTTTTAATGAACACAAAGTTATTGTGCTTCCACGTACCAGAGACAGCTTTAGGATACTTTGGCCCTTCAATCTCTGAACATGCGCCTTTATATATTTCTGTGTTTTGTAATAGAATGTAATTCCCGTGATACTTTATCTGTTTCATTTATATAAAACTTTTGTTGTTAATATGTGTCTTGTCTGAGTTGCGTGAAGATTAGAATGTGCTACAAGTCACTTTACTTTTCCACCAAGCCAATGGAAGGAATTTTGACACTTGAATTAGCAGAGGAATTCCACTTAGAACTACATAAAAATCTTCATGACAACATAAGTTGAGTAACCGTTTACAGTTCCTGTACTGTTAACTTTCACCATCACTGAAATAGTATCCTTCATAAAATGTGGTAAAACATGCGAAACAAAATGGCGCGGAATTTAACTTCTGAAATAATGGACTGTAGTTGGTATATGCTCAATAGTCACCAATGGCACAAAAAGTTGCTATTCGTTCATGTTATTTACTGGACCTGATAAGCAAAAACAGACTACAGAAGG